TGATCACCCAACAGCTGCCTTGTGTTTGGGCATCCCTCGGCATCGCCAGGGCTCCCAGCTTCCTGCAGTGCAAGAAGAGCAACTTCTCTTCAGCTGCTCCCCTCAGAGGGCCAGTGTCAGCAGGGTCAGGGTGGCCAATGACACCCAAAGCCCTGCAGCTCTTGGGGCCCCTTCAGCTGCCCGAGCACCCCTGCTGCCCTGTGGGAGTGGGGTGGTGGGGCCGGGGTGCGGGGCAGTACCTGACGGGGTCTCTCCCTCTGACACAGGTACAGACATGGCCGTTTTCTGCCTGCTGTGCGGCAAGCGGTTCCAGACGCAGAGCGCCCTGCAGCAGCACATGGAGGTGCACGCCGGGGTGCGCAGCTACATCTGCAGCGAGTGCAACCGCACCTTCCCCAGCCACACCGCGCTCAAGAGGCACCTGCGCTCCCACACAGGTACCCGGGGCTGGGACACGCCCTTCCCCACGCGGGAGAAATAAAGGGGGGGAGGAAAGGTGATCTGTATTAAAAAATCCTGGAGGTGACTGAAGTGGCTTGGATTTGAAAAACAAAACGGGGGAAAAAAAAAAAAGAGCTATGTGTAATAAGTTGATCTGGTCTGAGGTGGCACGTGACCTTCTTAGGGGGTGTGCGATCGTATCCGCCTCATCAGCTTACGGCGGTAGATGCACATAATCAGCTGGGGCTCGGCCCTAATGGGATTAGGGCGACCTGCGCTACGTGTAGCTGGTGCTGCCGTGGCCCCACTGGGGCAGGGCTCGGCGCAGGACTGCCGAGCGGCATGGCGCGGCTTGGCCGCCTTACGCCGTGTCCTCAAAGCGCCCGCGCCGTGTCCTCAGCTCCTCCGACGGCATCCCTGGGCAGCTCCGTGGTCCTGGCCACATCATCACACCGTCATCAGGGGCCACTCACAAAGCACCCCTGATTCCTGAGGATGAGCAGGAGCGTGCAGGATCACAGCCGTGGATCTTCACAGCTGCCTGGGTGAAGCATTCCTCGCCCATCCTTTGCCCACACAAATGCGAGGCTCCTGCACCCTCCTTGAGACTGCTGCTGTTGCTGACAGGGAGCAAAATGTATCCTGAGGAGGGATGCCCCTTCTTTCTATTGTCAGGCAGGGGGCATGCACACAATCTCCAAAAGGGACGTAAAGGTGGCTGCTGGGGGTTGTGAGGGTGGTGTCACAGAGGGTCGCTCTGTCCAGCCTGTGGCTGGCAGCTGCCAGACCCACACGTGGGCTAGGGGTCCCGATGTGGGAAATGGGAATCCTGTGTCGATGATAAGCATGTTAATGCTGAGTGCTGGAGCTATTTATAGCCGGTAATCCGGTGACCTGGGCTGCGGGTCGGGCTGCGCGTGTCCCACCCCAACCTCTGCTGCTTTAGCAGCTCCCGGCCGTGAAAAAACACTGGGATCATCGGCGCTTTGGGAGCATTTAATCGTGCCATGTGGGGCCGTCCTGCACAGCTGCAGGATGCTCCCTCTTGTCCCAGGGCCAGGGTGCTCCATGGGCTCAGGCTCCCCTGAAAAGTGGGCGGGTAGAAATGCTGGCTGCCTCTGGCTGAAAAATTGCTGTCTTTGACTGGAGGAGCAAAAGCCAAAGTGGCAGTTTGGAGCTGGGCACGGGGAGGGGAAAGTCAACAACAGCCCACAGGCAGGGGAAAGTCAACAGCAGCCCACAGGCACCGCCTGCATTGCCTTTGGAGGGGGCTCCGAGCTGCATCCCCAGCATCCTCCTCCCCCAGGTGCCCAGGCAGCAGCTGCGGGAGGGGCGAGGGGCCGCAGAACTGGGCTGCGGCAAATGGGGAGAGAGTAAAATATCATTTTAAAGAGGAAGCGAAAGCACAGGCATGTGAGTATATAACGAGAAGGACAATTTATGCCCAGGCACGAGTGCAGTTTGACACGGGGATAATGAAAAAACGTAGGTCATTGTGGATGACTTAAGCCTTCACAGCTGAAGAAAATGTATGAAATGCGGGGAACATTACACGCTTGGCAGCTCCGCACATCTGCAGCAGGACAAGTGAAATACAGTTCGCCATTCTTTACCATAAACTGTGCTTGTAGGATATGCGGCACAGAGAAATTGTAATTACAGTGACAAGACAAATCAGTAATATTTAAATATTCATGAACAAAGTCTCGGACGATCAATCTATCTTTATTGTCCTTGCCTTCGCGGCTGTAATAAATAAGTAGCTGGAGCCCTCACCTTTCCTTCAAATCATTCTGCCTTTGGTGCCAAACCAGAGTTCATTTATCAGCCGCCTGGTCCAGAGTGTGGGAGATGCCCAGGGTTGGGTCTGTGCTGGTGCTGCTGGGTGAAAAACCTGGAAATTGGTGGCGGGAGGGTTGCAGCCACTCCAGTCTCTACCGTGTCATGGATCCAAGCATCCCTCTGTGCATGAAGGTCTGAGCATGAAGGGACCAGCACACTGCACTGGGGAGACTGGGACGCTCTGTCCCCAGGATGGCTGCCCGGGGTGAAAAGGCTGAGGAGCTGGTTTTGGTGTGGCACGGCAGTCACAGCAGCCCTCACCCCCCGTGTGCTTGCAGGCGACCACCCCTACGAGTGCGAGTTCTGCGGCAGCTGCTTCCGGGACGAGAGCACGCTGAAGGGCCACAAGCGCATCCACACCGGGGAGAAGCCCTACGAGTGCAACGGCTGTGGCAAGAAGTTCAGCCTCAAGCACCAGCTGGAGACCCACTACCGAGTCCACACAGGTACGTGCTGGGGTGTCTGTGGTGAGGCTGGCAGTGACAGAGTGCTCCCCTGGTGGAAAGGCTTGTGGACCAGGGTGGCAGCCAGGGATAAGGAACCTCCGGATGTGCCAGCATTAATTAACAGTTGTAAATGGGGGATCAATAATCACATCGGTTCTGTTCATACATGTATGAACAGAACCGATGCTGTGGCAGCGTTGATGCTGGGCAGTTGATGAGCACCTGGAGGCCCCCAGCCCCCACTGACACCCTGTATCCCACAGGTGAGAAGCCCTTCGAGTGCAAGCTGTGCCACCAGCGCTCCCGGGACTACTCGGCCATGATCAAACACCTTCGGACCCACAATGGCGCTTCCCCTTACCAGTGCACCATCTGCCTGGAGTACTGCCCCAGCCTCTCCGCCATGCAGAAGCACATGAAGGGCCACAAACCAGAGGAGATCCCCACTGACTGGCGGATAGAGAAGACCTATCTCTACCTCTGCTACGTCTAAGGGAGGAGGCAGAGGGGCAGCAGGGCCAAGTGGCAGATGACTGGGCAAAAAAATCCCACCAAACCCGCAGCATCCATGGCCTTGTTTGTTTTCAGTTCTCATTCGTTTCTTCTCGCCGGAAGGATCCTGCACTCATGCCGGACCGAGGGACGCACCGGCCCCTTCTCCAGCCCCATCCACACTGCTGTCCCAGCTGCTCATGCGCCTGCTGCCCTTTCACCCTTGCTGCAGGGCAGATTCCACCCTTTGCAACCCCCAGCCAGGCCCTCGGTCACCCTTGGCATTGGCCACTGGTGCTGCTGGGAAGACCATGCAGGAAAGAGGCTGAAAGTGTGTGTACAGCTAGTGCTCTGGGAAGGCTTTAATTCCTGCTGTCCTGTCACTGCAGAGACCCTGCCGTGGATGCCCTGCAGAGGACCTGAGCTCCCATGTGGGGCTTGGGCCCCATTCTGCCAGGTTCTCATGCTCCCAAGCTGTGGCATTGCAGGCAGGAGAGCACAGTGCCCTGTGAGCCGCAAGTGCTTTGGCAAGAGTGTCCTGGGGGGATCCTGGCCAGAGGAGGGTGTTTGGGACAGGGAGCCAGCTGTGAGCCAGGCTGCCTTGAGGTGTTGCCTGGTGTCCAGGTGGGCTCAGGGCCACAGGAGGCTGCTGCTCTCCCCATGACCAAAGACCTCTCTATGCATTTCTCCCTCCTTCCCTGCCCTCCCGGGGCAAGGGTGAAGCCCCCATGGGGAGATGCAGTTGGTTTGGTGATGTGCAGTCAGTGGCAGTGCTGGAGCTGTTAGCGTGTGGCGTCACTCCGAATGCTGGGATCCTCTTCTCTTCTGCTGATTTGGGGCACCTGGAAGGTGCCAAGTGTGGGGTTTTTTGCCCAGCCCTCAGCCGCAGGAGCCCACAAGTAAGGGGTGCCCCGTGGCAGGCGGCTTTGCTCGCCGCTTTTTTTGCTTTTTGTTTGGGTTTTTTTGAACTTTCTTTTGGAATATTTCCGCGTTTAGCACATTTTACTTGAAATTACCTCATTTTGTTGTGACCTCATGAGCTTTTATTGATTTGGGAGGGACAGGGGGTGGCATGGCTGGGGTGCACCAGCCACGTGCCCAGCATTGGTGGTGGAGAGGTGGTGGGGCACTGGTGTCCCTGCCAGCCTCCTGTTGTGCATTATCCTTACCAAAACTGGTATTTTTTGCCTGGCCCCACGGGGCTGGGGGTGTTGGTTCTGAAGCTACCTCTTGTGTTCGTTTTTGTTGTGTTTCTCCTGCGCAGCCGCGGGCTTGGTGGCTCCATCCCACGGTTCTTTTTTTGTCGTTTTGCTGCGTTTGGGTGAAAAGGGGGGAAAAGGAGCTGGGGCGGGGCGGGGTGGGGCAGTGTCTGGATACAGTTTGGAGGGACACTGATGGCCCCTCTGGGTTTGGGGTGCCCTTCCCACCTCTCCTGGTGCCAGGCAGGGGCACGGCTGCGGGAGCAGCGCCCTGCCTGGCGCCCCAGTCCGGCTTTGCACGTGCGTGTGCCTCTGCGCTGGGACGGTCGCTGCTCCGCGCAGGGGGGACACCGCTGCTGTACAATCCGGGATGTGACTGTGGAGAACGGCTCGTTTCATTGTTGTGCCTAAGAAAAAAAACAGAAAAATATAAAAAAAAAAAAATAAGAGAGAGAACAGTTCTTTCACACAGAAAGTTGCTGCAATTTCTGGCGTGTGCACGGCAGGTGCCCGTGGTGTCCTGGCGCTGCCAGACACGGGTGCCATGGTGCCAGGGAGCACGTGGCCGAGCTCATGTGGCTTTTTTTTTTTTTTTTTGCTTTAACCTCCCCTTCCATCCCACCATCCCTCAGAGACACAGCCCCCGCTGCAACAGCGTTGGGGTCAGCATTGGAGTGATGCTGCTGTATCCCGGGCGCGCGTCCCCGCGCTGTTGGCTGTGGCGCAGCCCCCGCCACCCCTCCATATATATATATGTAAGTATATATATGTGTATGATAGCAGTGAGGACCAAGCGCCGCACGGGGCCCCACGGTCCCGGGCTCCCTCTCCCCTGGCTTGTTGTCAGTGTCGTGAGCGCCCGCCTGCCCGTCCCGTTGCTCTGTGTTGCCGCTCGTGGTTCGGGTCCGTCGCTGTCCTCGTTCCGTCTACCTCAGCACCTCTCTGAGCCCGGGCGCAGAAGGTGCCCAAGCTCCCCTTTGGTTTTCTCAGAGTATCTATCGGCTCCTATTTTTTGTACGACTTTTCCTGTCTCGCCGTTCGCTCCCCTGCGGTTCTGCTTGCGAGTCCTCTTTCTGTCCTCTAGCCACAGATGCCGTTAGCTAAAAGTTTCCTGAAAAATAAAGAAAAAGAAAAAAAAAATAAATAAACCAGTTGTGGTGTCTCCTAGTTGCAGCTCTCCGCATCTGCCTTCGTCCTGTGTAGATTCAGATGCATTTCTTTGTAAGACTTCAGTGTTTCTGACAGAGGAAAAAAAAAAAAGACAAAAAAAAAAAAAAGAAGAATATACTGCTGCAGGTTTTTTTCTCTCCATGTGTCACTAAGTGAAGTTCGTGCCTTCTATAGCAAAGAGAATATTTTTTACATCCTACTAACGGTAGATTTTTTTGTAGTGAACATTTTTTGTATTTTTATTTATAAGTCTCATAAGGAAAATAGCAATGTTCAGTTGTATACCTTGAATCTGCAGTTAGAAAACAAAAGAACAACCAATAAAGTTAATTCCGTTGTCTCAGCCTGCTGTCTCCCATTCCTGTGCCCATCAAGAGGAGGAGGAGGAGGAATAGGTGGAGGTGGAGGAAGGATGCATCCAACCAGCTTGGGGTGAGCCATGGGGGTACCCACAGTGGTGAGTTTGGGGGTGCCTGCTTTGAGGGGGGAATTGAGGAGGTCCTATCCCTAAACTGACCCCAGTGGGCGAGGGGGTCTCCCTGGAATGTCAGTGTCCCCGTGGGCAGGGAGCATCCCCAGCACGCTGCCTGCGCCGCTGCCTGCCCATGTGGCTCACCAGGGAGCAGAGCAAGTTTGCCTCAATGAAAGTGAACTCGTTCATTTAAACCTGCCTGCAGAGCCGTCCGGCCCCCCGCTGCGTTAATTATCCTGTAGTTCCCGACTGATTGCTGTACACTAAGCTTAAGCCCTCCTTTATTTATTTACTGACTACATTAACGGCAGCGCCTGCTCTCCTTTGTGCTGTGGCAAAGCGCACAGCACCGCGCTGCAGCCGGGCCAGCCGGGGCTGCCGGCACACCCGGCCCTGCCTGTGCCCCATGCTCGGCCTCCTGAGGCCATCAGGCATCTCTTGCAGCGCAGCTGGAGTCGCCAAGGGCAGAGCATCATTCGGTTTTTCGCAGGGACGGATGGCAGGTGCCAGTGTCGAGGCCGGGCTCATGCCCTGCCCAGCAGCCAGCAGGTCTGACACCCAGCGTGCCCCTCCCAAGGTCCTGGTGGCGCTCCTGCCTCCCCCAGTCCCCCAGCACAGCCCCCCAGCGAGGTTTGGGAGCTGTGGGGAGCTTTGGTCCAGGTTCGGGCAGGCAGAGGTGGCCCTGCTGTGAGCAACCTGGGGGCTGCAGTGCCCCACGAGAAGGGAAGAGGCCGTGGCCAGCACTCAGCCTGGCACAAAGGCGCGCTGCAATAACGGGGAAATCGCGGCAGGGCCGGGCCTTTGTGTGCGCGCTCGCACAGCAGCTGGGAGCGATTATGCTGCAACAATGTTCTGTTCCATCAACATTATGTCCTCATTAAACCTTTATTAGGAGATTAGATTCAGATTTATTGATTTTTTTTTTTTTAAAGAGGAAAATCCAGGCTTCTCTCAGATGCCTGGAACTTTTTCCCACATGCAGCACTTCCCAAAGTAGCAAGAGGGCAAGGGGAGAATCAATCTTTCCTCGAGGATAGGCAGCCTGTCCTTCCAGGGAAAAGGGCTGCTGAGCTTCTTGAGGGGGTTAGGTTGGGTGCATGATGGCTTCCTAGCACAAGGGGGACAAGGACCAAAGCATTCAATGGGATACAGCACACAGATGAGCATCTTGCAGTGCAGCCTTGGGGGACATCAGGGTCATGGTGGGCAGAAGAGGGATGGCAAGGCTGGCTCAGGAGTCTTGCTGCCCAGTACCCTCGTCAAACACATGGGCTGGGTGGCATCACACACCCGGGTCAATGGCCCCATTGGATTTGTCTGTTGGAGCGTTTGATGTTACACGAAGGCAGCTCATTCCAGAGGGTGTTAATTGCCCGCTGCACTGATCAGGTCTGTAGCACCATCGATCTCGGCAGGATCAATGGGCTGATTTAGTGTCTCACGAACTCTTTAACTGGACACCTCATCAATAGGCAGCCACTTACAGACCATCAGCGCATTAGTGCGGGCCGGCGCTGGCAGCAGCCCGCTCCACCCGTCCTCAGCCCCCGTCACTCAGAGGTAAGTTTTCCTGCAGGTGATGGCTCTGAGATGGTGAGTGGGAGCCTTGCTCTGGGGCTGGTGGGTTTGAGGGCAGATGTATGAGAGCCAGGTGGTGCCAACCCACCTGTTCCCCATCACCTGCCCATGCAGAGATGCTCCTAGAACACGGGATGGCCCTTATGGCATCTGCAGCACTTTCCTCTTCACCTTGTGCCTCTGTCCTTGCAGGGGCAGATGACACTGGGAGCTGGAACCTACTGGGCTGTGACGGCAGTCCTGCCCCCGCGCATCTCTCGGAGTCCTTCCCGTTGCCATCCCGCTTTGACACGGGGTCTCTCCCACCTGGCTAAAACTGCTGAGCACAAGCGTGGTGGGGATCTGCTGGGCAGGCATGCCCGGGGGCCCGGGGCAGGATACAAAGGCAGCAGCCGGGGTCAGGGGTAGGGGAGCCGAGACCAGCGGGACCCCCGGGGCGGTGGGGATCCCCCGATTCCGGGGAACCTCCCCGATGCCGGGGGAACCCCCCGATGCCGGGGAACCCTCCCGATTCCGGGGAACCCCCCCGATGCCGGGGACCCCGGGTCGGGAGGCGGCCGGGCCGGCGGCGGGGCCGCTGTCCGCGGTGCTGAAACCGCGGCCGGGGCCTGGCCGGGCCGGAGGCGCTCCCGGGCTTGGCAGGGAAAGCGTGGAGTGAGATTTGGGCAAGGGTCGTGGGGTCCTGGGGGCTCCTGCTCAGCTCCGCCTTCCCGCTGCGGAGCTGAGGGACCTGAGGGATGCGCCCGCCTGGGTCCCAGAGGCAGGGAGAACCCACCAGAGTGAGGTCCCCCGTCTCCCTGAACAACGGGCCCTGCTCAGGCATCCCTCCACACCGACCAGAGGGTGCCCAGCGTGATGCTGTAAGCCAGGACGGCTGCCAGGTACACCCGGAACAGCAGCACATCCAACACGTAGCCCACTTGCAGCCACTCGCGGGCGGCGTCGCGGAATTCCTCCCGCTTCTCCAGGAGCTGGCGGATAGCCGTGGCCTCACGCAGCACCTCCTGCAGGGCTGCTGAGCCCTCCGTCCGGCCAGCAAAGGCCAGTGCAGACCTCGTGCCCCCCACTGCCCCGCACTCCCGGGGCTCCTCACAGGCGTAGGGGGTCGGCTTGGCTGAGGGATCAAGAGAAGCAAACGTGAAAAACCTATTTAGACAGGGAGCTGGGATTTGCGAGGGTGAACTAGGCACCCAGTTCACCCTAAGTTCACCCAGGCACCCAGTTCACCATGCAAAGGATGGCTGTGTAGGTGTAGATGGCTACAGAGCACCCAGACTCCTCCAGTTCCCCCAGACCCTCTCTGTGCCACCCTTACCTGTGCTGTCGTTGTTCTCCACCTGCCTGGAGGTGTCCGAGCTTTGCATCCTGCTTTGGCTGAACTTCTTCCTGTCCCGGATGCAGAGCAGGATGGTGGCTCTCTCCAGCAGCAGGTGTTTCACCCACGCAGGGACGTGGGGCTGCAGGTCCTGCTTGTGCACCAGGTGCACAATCAGGATGGTCTCCGTCAGGCTGATGACGAGCAGCGCCATGCACACCACAAAGTAGATGCCTGCAGAAGCATCAGGGAGGTGAGTGACCCTCAAAGGCTTGTGCACAGAGCAAACCCTCCCTGCCCAGCTCTCAGGGCCCTGTGGCCCCTGCTGGGTGGGAGAACCACCATACCTATCAACGGCGTGCCGACGGCCGTGGCTGGCAGCGTGTCAGACACAATAATGAGGAAAACCGAGTAGCCCAGCAGGAGGGTGATCTTGAAAGAGACCCTCTCACCGCTGTGGGGAGGCAGGTAGAAGCCCACGATGTCCATAACCATCAGGAAGATGCTGGGGAGCAGCAGGCTGACGGTGTAGAAGAGGGGGCGTCTGCGGATGACAACCTGCAGGACAGAGACAGAAAAGGCTGTGAGGGGTGAAATGAGGCCTTCAGCTGGTGTGGCCCTTTGCCAGGGCAGGTGAGGATGGTGGGGGGCACTAAGGTGAGCCAGAGGAAGGGCTCACTAGCAGGAGCCTCCCACCTGCAGGCAGGAGCTGCAGCACAGAGCAGCGACGGGGATGGGGCAAGTCCCTCGTGCCACATCCCCGAGAAACACGGGGCCGAGCCTCTTACATAGAACTTCATCTCAGCGTAGCTGTCACTGCTCTTGACGCTGAACTCCTGGAAGTGGCTGAGGACGTAGAGCAGCTCCCACTCGCCCTGGTTCATGAAGACACTGCGGTCGAACTTGAGGAGCTCCGGCTGACGCCACAGCGAGAGGTTGATATCACGAACTGGGGGGGCAGAGGGGAGGTTGGAAGGGGGGTACCCCGCCCAAAGCGCCGGCAGCTGGCGGCACCTCCAGGGCGGGCAGCGTGCCTGCCCTCCCCGCACGCTTCCCCGATCCGCTGGGGCCATCTAGAGGGACGGGCCGCCTTCTGCACCGAGCGCCGGCACTCACCGTGGTGCAGCCAGCTGGTGAAGGTCAGCGAGCAGTTCTGGATGTCGAAGGGGAAGTTGTAGATGTCCAGGCTGCAGGAAGTCATCACCTGGATGGGTTTGAGGTTCTGCACCTCCCCGTGATGGCTGACGTAAACGTAGGGGACGTGTGGGGACTTTCCAACATCCACACTGAGGGACATGAGGGACAGAGGTGTGGGCTGGAGAGCACTCTGGGCAGGGCTGCCTTCTGCCAAGTGGAATTTCATGGGGGAACTGCCCAAGAGCCAGGGATTTGCCTCCTGTTCTGCTTTTTTAGTATTACTCTTGCAGGCATTTCAGCCTCACAATTTCAGCCTTGCATCACCTCTGCACTGCCCAGACTGTTGCCTTCTCCCAGCCCAAGAAGTCCCAGAGCCCTCAGGAGGCCCTGGGAGCACCTTAAATCCCCACGGAGTGGGAAGGACACCAGATAGCTCCATGGGATAGCTCTGCAGCTGCCCTGGCATTGTACTGTCTTCACAAAGCCTTTCTCCTGCTATCTGGATCTCACCCCCAGCACAGTGAGGGTAATTACTGATGGTTGTGGTTAGCCAGCATTGGAAATGGCCCAGCTGCAGAGCCAATCCCCATCTGCAGCTCCCCGATGTGGGGAGGCTGCCAGCTCTGTGCCAGGAATACAAAGCACGGGAGGGTACGTGCCCGTGGTGGGTGAGGAGTCCCAGCCCCAGCCTGTGTCCCGCGAGGCTTTGGCTGCACTCACAACTCATTGATGAGGATGTCGGGCACCCAGATGCTCTCCACAGGGAGGGAGATCTGCGTCAGGTTGTCGAAGTCAGCTGGGTCCCACTTGAGGAACTCATCTGTCCAGTGCTGGGGACAATGGAGAGGGGACTTGGTGGGTGAGGTCCTTCCACCCTGCCAGCACACAGACCCCAGGCTAGCACCAGGCAGGGAGTGGGAGGGAAGACTGAGCCTCCAGCTTGCACAGCAGCCAGCAGTGCAAACCAGGGAGCCTTGGGGCTCATGTGCTGCAGAGGCCTCGCCAGCCCCCAGGATGTTTCCCCCCACTGCTCTCCTGCAGGACTGCACACTCCTCTCACAGGAAAACAGGGGGGCTTGACCCCGATGGGGCCAGCAGGGAAGGGGTGAGGTTTTGTGGCTACTCACCTGCCTGTACCAGATGTAGGTGGTCAGCACCTGGTCCTTCTCATCCTGTGAATTTGAGAACGGTCAGAACGTGGGCGCTGGCACTGCGCTGGGAGGATGCTGCATGCCAGGCCCCCTTCCCCTGGCACGGGAGCAGGGCACTCACCACGCTGAGGATGGCATAGACCATGAGGTCGATGGCCACGTTGGTGGTGGTTCGCCAGTCCCGCACGGGCCGGGTGCCCCTGTGGTAGTGCTCCAGGAGGTGGCGGCACAGGCGGCGCAGGGCGGGCTCGGGGGGCTCCGGGGTACCTGCTCAGCAGAGAGAAAGGGAGGCTGCTCCCCCTGCGACCACCCTGGGCTGTGCCACGGGCTGCGGCGTGCTGCCAGCTGCCTGCCCTCGCTTACCAGCTGGGGTTTCCCATCCAACTTAAATAGGAGCACCCTGATGGGAAACAGGGCTGGGCACCAGAGTCATCACCTAGTGTGTCACTGGTATCCTGTGCCGTGCAGGTCGAGACCTTCCCCAGCCTCAGAGGGAACAGCTGCCAGCCCTCACCTCTCTGGACAAGTGCCAGGACAGCGGCAGAGGGGAACCAAGGGGGACACACTGCCCCCGGGAAAGTTTCATACCATTCCCTCCCTCCAGGGGCATTTCTTTGCTCAGCGGGTGGAGACAGTGAAGGTTAGAGATGAAGCAGGATGCTAAATTCATTTATTAGGTATCTTGGTGTTTGCTTCCTGTGAAAACAGTCCCTTCACTGGTGCCAGCAGCATCAAGCAAGGGCAAATTGCTTTCAGCACCATGTCCTCACTGCCAGGCCCCTGGAATGCCACGGCTGGGCCAGGGCAGCAGTGCTACACTTGTGGCACACCCAGCCACAGAGCCCAATTCCAGCATAATGGAAGAGACTACTTGGAATTGATCTATGGGAACTTGGGAAAAGGTACTGGAAGAGAATTTTAACCTGTATTTTAAGCTTTAAAAAAAGAAAAAAACAACAGCCTCAGCCCCTCTGACATTGCTCATGAGTGGCAGTACTGGGGAGCCAGCCAGGTGCATGAGGCTCACCCAGGCAGGCAGGAACAAACAGAGGCAGTGAGATGGGGGAGAGGCAGCAGTTAGGGTGAGGGGAGGAAATACAGCTGCTGCCATCACCACAGCTCGGGCCAAGTGACCTTTCCTGCTGCAGCTGGTGGCAGCTGGCTCGTGCTTGCTCTCCTCCTCGCACCACTTCTCCTCACATCCACGCCACCCATATCTGCATCAGGATGCTCTGGCAGCAGGGAAATGGCTTTGCAGAGGGAGGACTGGGCTGGGTTCAGCTCAGATGCTCTTTGCCTCTGCTCCAGACACCATGCTGGTCTGCCCAGCCCATATCTGTGCCATGATTGTGCCAGCAGCTCACCTGGTGCAGCTCAGCACAGCCCTAGCACATGGGGATCTGTCTGCACAGCCCTTCCTGCCTCCTGGCCAGCATTGCCAGGCTGAGCATATCACTGCTCCCGCTCCTTTTCTGCCACCTGAGGTGTGCTAACAGTGGGAGAGGGCTTGGGAGTTGGGTGACAGGAGCTACATGACCCATCCAGAGATTTGAGTCAATTTGATCTGAACACGTTCAGCTGGGCTGGTGCAAAACAGCTCAAGGATTTTTGTGCTATTTCCCAGGAACATTAGATGAGAAAATAATAACGGAATAACAACAAAATATGTTGGCTGTCAATTTTGCACTGCGAAGAGCTGCAGTTACAAACTATAGGCACAGCATCATGCCCAAAACCCAGCTCAAGGTTATTATATTGGAGCAAGCCCTTCATCAGGCAGGGGGCTCAGGCAGCATCTCCCAGGCAGTGGAGTGCAGGCAGGAGACCCCCATGTCTTTCTCTATCCTCAGGGTTGGTTTTCAGCACAGCTCCAGAGCATCTCAAGACCCCAGAGAGCAGAGCTGCGTTCTAGGGCTACATCACCTTGCTGCCAGTGTTACCTGGGCAGGATGCACCTCCAGACTCTGCACCGGAGCTCTCCTATGCTCCAGCCTCTCCCAGATACTTCACTTCCCAACAGCACGAAGGTTTCCCTACAGAGCAGCCTTTGCCAGGCACTCAGCACGGCTCAGGTTCTGGCAAGGTCCCGCTCCGCCTCAGCTCCCCAGCCCTGCCCACGGGTCCCCCACCTTACCTGGGCTCGGCAGCGTCGAGGCCAGCGGCAGCAGGGCCAGCAGCGCCCCGAGAGCCGTGGGCACCATGGATGCGCTGGCTGCAGCTCGGCGGAGCACCGAGCGGAGCAGGAGGCAGGCGGCACTCCCTGGCTTTCCCCCCGCCGTCGGGTTTTTGAGAACGCCCAATTAATCTCGCGATCAGCCTCTCCCGCTGCATCAAGTTTCAGGCTGGGAGGATGCGAGTGGGGCCCACCCCCGCCCAGCTCCCGAAGAGCTGCCCCGTCCCCTGCCCAGGTGCCTGCTGCTGGCAGAGCGGGTTTTGGGGTGCGAGCATCGTGCCCATTGCAGCGGGGGGCACGATGGGGGGACAGGGCGCTGCAGGTGCCAGGGCTGAGCCAGGAGATGCTCAGCAGCTGGAAAGACGGGGGAACCCCTGAAAGGTAAAGGAGGGGAGTCTGCCCAGGGTATGCCACTGACACAGGGTGGGTTTCCACCAGCAGGGGAGAGGGGAGCTGTGGATGTACTGGGCTCCCCTTCACACCCTGTGGCAGGTGGGTGTGACAGTGGCTTTGACAGTCGCAGGTTGGGGCAGATGTGCAGCCAGCCCTTGGCACCCCTGCCTGGGGCAGCAGCTTTCCCCCAACCCCTCCAACCTGCACCTACACTGGAGTCTGTTTTCACCGCAGAAATTTGCACTTGTTGTGAATTTCAGCAAACAAAGTTATTCCTACTGTTTTCAGTTTCCCAAAATATTTAACGCCTTGGGGCAAACAAGACTAGAGGCAAAGCCTGGTCAGGTATTACTGAGAGTCAAAAGGCCCCCACCTGAGAGGGTGCCCTGCTCAGGCTGCACATCCATCCATCCCTCCATGTCACAGCGTCACAGCCGTGGGCTGGGCAGTGTCCCTCTGCCTGGCGGGGGAGCTTCCCCTCGGCCCTAAGCCTCTGTAATCTTCTGTATTCCTGTATGTCTGCACTGCGTGCTGCAGGTGCCTATGCCCCCACAAAGCTGCCAGCTGCTGGAAATCCTGGGGAAGCGGTGGCCAGGGACCAAAGCCTGCGGCGGTGGCGTAGAGCAAATTGCATCAGATGCCGACATGGAGTCACTTAAACGAGATAAGAATTAGTGCGGGGCCCTGATGAACTCCCCGTTGGCTGCCAACAGCGGTGTCAGGGAGAGAGCGAGAGCAGAGCTGGGGCTAATTTGATTTCTCGGCTCCGTTAGTGGCTGGCAAGTCACCTCCCAGGGAGCGCCAGCAGCTCACAGCGCTCTCCCCTTATTGAATCTGGGTAATGAAAATCACGGGCAGCGCCACCGTGGTGCTGGGGACTGTGCCCTGCTCTGCCCCCTCTCCTGCAGCCTCCTGCGTCTGCAGCCGGCAGGATGAGGCCAAGGGGCGTGGGCTGCTCCAGTGGAGCCTCGGCTGCAGCATCATTAACTCTGGATTTTCTCCCTCGGGTTTTACATCTTCATCTTAAAGAGATTTTAATGTAGTTCCTATCAGCCCTCCTGTTATTGGATATCTAATTAGCGTGATCTACGGTGGCTCGTGTTCCGCGCGCACGCGGGGGCTCTTGCGGGACGCTTTGTGGGACGGCTGATATCAATCGGCAGCGCCCAGATCAGATTTACTTTCCGAAATAGCATAATGGGATTTTATTAGCCCTGTAATCTGCTGCACGGTAATTGCTTTTCTGGGAATCGAAGCGCTCAGCGCCTGGGGCTTCCCACAGCTCAGCCCTGCATCCTGTCCAGGCCCCGCTGCAGCCAGGCATGGCAGCGTCCCTGCACCGGGGTGGACAGGCACTCAGGCCTCTCTCCTGGGGCAGCAGATTCCCTGGCTGGGCAGGCAGGTATTTAGCCTAGAGCAACAATCTCAGAGGCTGGGGGAGCACAGGGGCACAAGCACAAGATCCCCAACACGCAATGGCACAAGTGATGCTCTGCATTCCCTCCTCACCCCAACCTGACCTCATCCCACGTCCTGAGTGTGCAGCACTGTGCACTATAGTCCTTTGGCAGCTCCCACCTCGTGCCGTGGAATGTGCTGGGGGCTGTGGAGCTGCAGCAGGAGCATGGCTGGGCTCTGTGCAGGACGGGGTGTTGTAGCCAGGCTGGGGAGGGAGGGGTGTGCAGCACTGTGCACTGTAGTCCTTTGGCAGCTCCCACCCCAAGCTGAGGAAATTCCTGGTGGCTGCAGCAGGAGCATGGCTGGGCTCTGTGCAGGACGGGGTGTTGTAGCCAGGCTGGGGAGGGAGGCCTCAACCGTGGCGCTTGCCGGTGCGGAGCGGGCAGGAGAGGGAAGCAGCTCTCCTCCAGGCTGCCAGTGCTCGCCTTTCAGAGCGCGTTTGGAGCGTCAAAAACAATAAAGCATCAGCGAGGAGCCCTGGCAGCACAGCTGCCTGATGGCCCCGGCCCCATCACGCGCCCGAGGCCGCCCATTAGGGAGCTCGCGCTGCCCGAATTGCATGTCTGCTGTGATTTAACGCTGCGAGACATGAAACAAACAGCGCCGGCAGGCAGGGCTGCTGGCCCAGGTACCACAGCAGCCCCGCTCCCACGGCACCCTGCTCCCAGGGACAGTGATCCTCTGCAAGGCTCGGGCTTGCACCCCTGGTCACTGCAGAGGGCCAGGGACACACAGGATCTCTCCTCTGGCTCTCACCTTGTGCAGCTCCCAGACCGAAGCACAGACCAAATGCTGTGAAGAGCTGCTCTGTGTGGTACCTCTGGCTAAGTTAATTTTATTAAGGGATGCTGGTAGCTTTGTCCCTCGGGTGCAAACTGCACGGCCCTTGGAGAAGCCAAGAATTGCCCATTCCAGCTACCAAGCCCATCCTCACCCCAGAGAAGGAGCCCAGTGCTTTTGAAACCCCCAGAGAAGGGATGGGATTGCTTTCCCTTCAAGTCCTCTCTTTCATTAGACACCCTTCAGATGTTTGCAATATTCTGCCATTGTTTCATTACCACTAAAGGCAGGTACTAATAAGCACATGAAGGTATTTGGAGCCCGTTGCTGTTAATGAAGCTGTGGCTGATGCTGAGTGGGACGGCAGCTGTGCGTCACAGGCTGAGCACCATCTCAGGACATGGAAGGAGAGGGCACGTCTGTGCCTGTCTGTCTCACAGTGTACAATCTCCCCCTAGTAAATTATTCTTGGAGGTAGCAGTGCTGTGACTGCGATTAATGCTGCAAACAAATTGTTCTACACCCTAGTTAATTGTCACGGCATTAATCAGGCTGCTAAACATTAAACACAGCCTGGACAAACCTGGAGCTAAAAAAATGGGTCTGAGTTTATCTTTGTGGTAGGGGCATTCAGAATTTTTATGGTTAATAGTTTTTTTAAGGTAGGAAAATCCTGGGGACCCTTACCTCAGCAATGAAGTTTGGGTAGAGCACCATTCCCTCTGCAGTGCATGAGGGTCCCAGAGAGAAAATCACAGTGCCCAGCACTACCTCCCTCTCTCTCACTATTAATAGCTTGGCAGGCTCCCAAAATGAGTAGAATTTCTTACTTTGTTGCATTTAGGATCACTGGTTGTCTTGTTTATGCTCTGCACATCAGGGAAACTGGCGAACACCCGCTTCCTCAGTTTTTCCTTATCTATGCTGCTGCATCCTCCCTCTTCCCTCCTGAATTCCTCATCTGGAGTACCTGTGAGAACCAGGAAACCGGGACAATCTCGGAACAGCCCACACTGAGGTCCCACACCAAAACAAAAGGCAAGGGACAGCCTGTGACTGCCCAGGACAAATCCAAGTGTGGGAGATGCCCACCCAGCTGGGAAAGGGCATTTCTGTGGGAGAATTGGCAACGAAGGTATGGCAGTCTGACCCTGCTGTCCCCTTCCCCGTGCAGTGCCACAGCTCTGCTGGAAATGCCAGTGCCATCAGTGCCACAGGAACTTCAGTGCCCGGTGGGGATTGCAACTGGCACATTCCTGGTGATGCAGGACAGTTTTTTGCTGGTTTCCCCCAAGAAAGCTGAGCCCCATGGAACCAAGTTGCCCAGGTGCCTGGGCCTCATCTCATCAGCAGGTCCAGCTGCTGCACTGGGGTCTGCACACATGTACCTGGATCCTGCCCAGCCCCCGGGGCCCCTTGCTGGGACACCTCCATTGCAGCATCCTTGTACTCAGAGAAAGGTGGAATCCGGGCTGTGCCCTGTGGCTCAGCAAATCTGAGAGGTGCTGTTCCCTGCTGGCTCACCCAGGCCCAAAAAGGCATGGGTTTGGCTGGAGCAGAAGGCAGCTGCCGGCCCCTCGTTGTTTTGAACCTTTTCCTCGCGGTGTTCCCCTGGGGTGCATCCACCCCTGGAGCATCCCGGTCCTCTCCTGCATCCTCCTCTCGCCGCCTGCTCGCAGCTTCCTGCCGGCAGCACCGGGCAGCACCGACAGCACAGAGCAGCACCGACAGCACAGACAGCACCGGCAGCACCGACAGCACAGACAGCACCGGGCAGCACCGGGCAGCACCGGCAGCACCGGGCAGCACCATCAGCACCGACAGCACAGACCAGCACCGGCCAGCACAGAGCAGCACCGGCGGACACCTGCCAGACGCAGGACCACAACAGGGGAGGGGGGGGTTTATTACTGTTGTAAATAAAACAAAATAATTCACTTTTATCACTACAGAGGGGCGCGGCCGGGGCAGAGCGCTGGCTGGGGCCGGCGTTCGCGGCTGCCGGGGGAAAGTCGGGGGAACAGCACAGACAGCACCGAGCAGCACCGGGAAGCACCGGGCAGCACCGGCAGCACAGAACAGCACCGGCAGCACAGAGCAGCACCGGCGGACACCTGCCAGACGCAGGACCACAACAGGGGAGGGGGGGGTTTATTACTGTTGTAAATAAAACAAAATAATTCACTTTTATCACTACAGAGGGGCGCGGCCGGGGCAGAGCGCTGGCTGGGGCCGGCGTTCCCGGCTGCCGGGGGAAAGCCGGGGGAGAACGGGCTCGGCGGCCGGGGCGGTGATGGGCGGCTTTGGGGGGGGGGAACACTACCGGACACACGGACAGACACACGGACACCCGGCCGGACACACGGACACTCGGACACACAGACACACAGACACACGGACACACAGACACACGGACACTCGGACACCCGGCCGGACACACAGACACACAGACACACGGACACACAGACACACGGACACACAGACACACGGACACTCGGACACCCGGCCGGACACACGGACACACAGACACACGGACACTCGGACACCCGGCCGGACACACAGACACACAGACACACGGACACACGGACACACGGACACTCGGACACTCGGACACCCGGCCGGACACACGGACAGACACACAGACACACGGACACTCGGACACACGGACACTCGGACAGACACACGGACACACGGACGGACGGACACACAGGCACGCGGACACTCGGACACACAGGCACGCGGACACACGGACACTCGGACACACGGACACACGGACACTCGGACACACGGACACTCGGACACCCGGCCGGGCGCGGCCCCGGCGGGCGGCGCCGTCCCGTCGGGCCGCGCTGCCGTCCGCGCGTGTTTCGTTGGGAATAACGGGCTCCGCGCGCGGGGCGCCGGTACCACGGGAAAGGGCTCGGGCGGCGCTCGGACCCCTCCGCTCTGCGCGGAGCACCCGCCGTGTGCCCTGCCCGCCGCTGAGCGGCATCTCCCGGGGCAGCCCGACGAAGACTGCTGCTCCCGAGCTTCGGGGCTCCGCCTGAATCGGCTCTGAAGGGACCCGGGCCGGACGCGAGGCTGTGTCGGTGCTCAGGGGACTGGAGCCCAGACCATCCCGGACTGACACGGGCTCTGCGCTGTCCTGCAGCATCTCGGTGCTCCTAGGACCCGAGAGATGCGTTTCAGAGAGGTCAGAGTTACAGAGCGGGATGGGGTGAGGGTATCAGCCCTTTGGCTGTGTGCTAGCCGTGGTTTTAGTGCAGCAGCGGTCTTGCAGGGACAGTACCCAGACCGTGCCCCCCATGTGCATCTTGTGCACCTCAGTGCAGGACGAGGTTGCTGCCTGCTGCTTCTTGTTGTGGCGGATGTTGGTTTGTGAAAGCCTTGCCCGGGACCGTGGGCTTTGTTCCTGCTGCCGCCTGTGGGTTTCCAGCCCTCTCCGTATCCATTCTCCCCCGCGATAAAAAGTGTGGCTGAGGAGGAGAGGCTGAAGGCCAAGGCTCTGTGTGCCTCTTCTGTGCTGCAACCTTCCTCCTCCTTGTGTACCTCCTTCCTCCCCTTGAATCTCTTGCGCTGCATTTGCTCCTTTCCCTGTTCACAGTTTCTCATCAAAACAAACTTCTGAGGGCGGTGAGTCACCTCAGAGCAGGGAAAACAGCAAAACCTTTCTATTCTGTCATTCCTGGCTGACCTTGTAATTTTATCTCTAGTACCCTCCTTCCTCTCAGCCTCTTGATTTTTTACTCATCTCTTGTTGCTGTAATTTAATACTAATAGGATTTGGGTTTGGGTTGTTATTTTTCCAGCAGGTAGGGCTTTGGTTCAGTTTGGGTTTGCAAGTGCAGGGTGTATTAGCAGTGGCAGCACACTGGTGTTAATTACCAGCTACAGAGCTTGTTTTATAGCCCCATGAGGCGTAACCTCAGAAAGGAATAACCAGACTAGTTATGGCAACAAAACCACGCACGCTCCCCAAAATCTTAACAAATTGGTTGCACAAAGAGTGGTTCCTGGTGGCATCTGTGGGCTGCCAGGCAGCCACAACCCTTTCAGAAGTCATACAGGATAAGCTCTCTGCTGTTAGCACAAACCTTTCCTCAAAGGCTGAATAAAAGCATGCAGAAATCATTGAAATATTAAATGGCAACTTAGAGCAGAGGATCAGTAATTGGCTTTTATGCTTACAGCAGCCTTTGTGAGTTCTCTGTTTGCTGGAGCAGAAAAACCCCAGAAAATCATGCCCTGTCCTGCCTCGGGTTTCATTATTATAATGCAGTGTATTAGCAAGGGTGTTTGTGGGGTTTTTTCTCCACTGGAAAAATCCACCCTGAGGCTTTAGGTGGGGTCAGCCGACATGCACGGCACGCGCTAAGGCAGCAAAATTAGCAACATGATTTAAGTGGTTTGCCTTTGTGAGAGTATGCCTGCCCCGAGCCTCTCAGCCTTGGCTCCTCATCAGGCAGCTCCTCCTTCGGCTTCTGAGGTGTTCCAGGGTGTCTTGGCTTTTCTCAGGACAAAAAGAGCACTTGGGACGAGTTGAGGGGGGTTGCACACCTGTACGTGCTCTTTCATGTAAACGTTGAGCAAAAGTAGTGTTTTAAATGGGACAGAGAATTGCCTCCAAAACAGGAGTTTTTTGTTTGAATAGCTGACACAGGTGTGTGCTATCTTTGTGTGTGGAGTATCGTCCATGACCAGTATGGGTGGAGGGCTCAAAAAAGTAGTTGACTCATTACTCAGTGGGTGCAACTTGTGCTCCAGTGGCCTGGATGCATCTTAATTTTTTTTTCTCAATGGTGAGAATAAGTAGAAACTTGAGTTCATTTGCCTGCAGCTTTGCTGGTTCAGATTAATTAAAAGCGTGATCTTAGGGGACTGGGATTGATCGGGCTGTGCTGACTGCAGGATCCTGTGCAGCCTCTGTAAATTCGGGATACAGGACATAGACCCAGCAGTTGTTCCTGCTGTAATGTTTTTCCCATGCCACATGCAATGCCAGCGTTATGGAGCTGCATCTCAGTTGTCACCCAGGCTGAGCCGTTGGCAGCAGCATCAGCTGAACTGCAGCATGAGCAGGGGTGGTGGGACCCCCAGTGCAGGGGGTGCCTCTCCTAATAGTCATTGCCTGAGGTTATTTGTGCTTGCCATGTGCACTCACCACCCTGTGGTAAGCCTGGGCTGCAGAGATTTTATAAGTCTGGTAAAGAGAGTTTCTGTAATCCTTTGTTTTAAGTGGCTGAACCAACCATAGCATGGGGCCTTGGGCAGCGAGTGTCTCACCCGACCTCCAGTGGTCTGTGTGGAGTGGGAAGGAGGAGCAACAACAGGCTGCTGGGCCCTTGCTCTGACACCTTATTGTCAGTAAGAAGTGACATGCACAAATGGCATGTGCCACCACACTGAAAATAGCTCCTGACCGTGCCCTGGGAGCAGGCGGCCGCCTTATATGTCCTGCTGCACATGCTGCTGCCTCAGGGGTGGGGGAGCCCCTTCCCAGCACAGGTGCTGCACAGCCCACAGGCCTGCCTGCATTCTCCTGAGATACGAGGGCTTGAATGTTAGTCTGTGAATTCAGCAGGGAAAAAACCTGAGTGTGGTGTTCAAGCTGATGTTGCTGTTTGCATTAAGCAAGTGTGGCTGGGCTTGAGTGTCAGTCTGTCAGCAGAAAAGAAGGAAAGAAGCAGTGCTCCTCTGGGTCCTCAGCAAACCTTGCAGAAACAGCTTGATGTCCATCCTGGTCACCTTTTCATATAAGCTTTCTCTATTTCTTGCACGTAGGATTGCCAGGTGCTCTTAAATCAGATGAAAGAGATCACAGGAATTCAGGATTCAGCATTCCTGCTTGCCGCTCTAAAGGTTTGTGTATATTGCCATTGTTTTGGGGAAAGAGAGCTCTGATTTTGTCCAAAAAGTCAAGCAAGTTCAGGCTCCTGCCCAGCATAGCACACAGGTGTTTGCTGTGTGTTTGTCAGCTGATGATGGGCTGGTCCTTGTTGGAATGGTCCATGTGTGGCCTGTGAGAGCAATACAGAATCAGCCTGGATGCATGAGAGGCAAAGGGTAAATCCTTTGCTGTTCTTCTCCTCACTGGTGCTTTCCTCTATCATTCCTCCAGGCTGCTGATGGAGATCTCATGGAAGCAGTCACCTTCCTGACAGAGGACCCTGCTCCAGAGCCAGTGCAGAGCCCAGCTGCTGCAGAGACATCCGCCTGGGAAGGGAGCACGGTGGGCAAACAGCTCCCACAGGGT